CTCAATTTTATTTTTTTTAACGAAGACTTTTCAGGTGACCAGTTGAGCCCGATTTTAGAATTTTTATTTGCTTATATTGAATTTTTTATAGCAGAAGACAGGAAAGTAGCAATTTTGAAAAAAAGAGATTCTCCTGTTACAGTTAATACATGTTACATAATTAAACCTAGTTAAAAACAATTGTATATTTCCCCCAAAACGAAAAAAAAAAATAAAAATTTCACCAAAATCAAAATTTTATTTTTTTAGTTTATAGATACATTTTGGGTATGCAGTTTTATAGATCAAACGAAAAGAAAAAATCATAAGAAAGATTTTAAATGTTTTAAAAAAATTTCACCAAAATTAAAAATTGTTTGCTTTGAGTTTTTAGAAAAAATTTGGGTATGCAGTTTTATAGATGTATTTTTAGTATACTAAAGTGCAAGTTTCAAGTGACTAAAAATTTGCATTGATTTTTAATAATATATTTGATTAGAATATAAACGAGGCGATACAAAGAGAACATTTTTATTCTCAATTTAGCATGCAGATGTGCCTGAAAAATATGTAAATTAAAAATAAACGCGAACTCTTAGCTGCTGGCAAATTGCGCTTTACTATACTAAAATTTAATGATCTATAAAACTGTACATGCAAAATTTTTCATAAAACTCAAAACAAAAATTTTTTAGTTTTGGTGAAATTTTTTTATAACAATTAAAATCTATAGGCAACTAGATGTACAGCGTACTAGAATCCATGTGTCGGCACTAGTGCATTTCCCTACAGGGTAAGTACGTATCTACATCTCTAATCCACCTAGGTACATAAGTACAATTGCTTGCCTACCTACCTGTAGATATACAAATATATTTACTTGCAAAAAAGTTCATCGTACTTCCGAGTTAGCATAGCTCTTTCACAGTACATAGTAGCACTCGCGTGTGCAATAAATTGATAATGATTGCTAGTGCTGGCAGAAAAACTTTAGTAAGACTACATAGAAGTCATAAAAAAGTAACATAGAGCCAAATATTAAACCTTTGTAGTACAGGGAACTCTGAGAAAAGAAAAAATCTTATATATTATTTCTCTAAGGTGTTTTTTTGTTAGTCTCCCTTTTTCCACTTTTCTATGTAAACAATTCCACTAATGAGGTATCATTTGAAAATTCGGAGGTCCCCTGAGTGGTTATTGGGTAATATTAATGGTCACAACACCTCTGACGTCAAGAAATTTTTAATTTAATTTTTGTTTTTAATTTACCATATTTAAGCCACACTAAAGGTATTTTGTACTGAAGCACTATTGGGACGATGGGTACATTTTTTCAGATTTGTAAATTTTTTATATTGGGCTATTGGTGCAAGATAAAAAACTTTGGACGAATTTTTTTTTTTGTATTCACACAATACAGCAAACTTCTAAAATTTCTAAATTTTTTTTTAACAAATTCTTTTTCGGGATTGGGATAATAAAAAATACGTATGCATTCACGCGATTGGGATACGGCTTACACCAAATTTAGGGCAAATGCGCAATCGTGTGACACTGCTTTAAGCAATCTTGAAATGCTTATTTTTTAAATTGTAAAGTTGCATCTAAATTTTCAACCTTTCAATCAGATTTTTTTAAAGGGCAAGTTTAAGTTGCTAAAAAATTGCGTTGATTCTGGAAATTTAGATGCAACTTTGCAATTAAATAAAAGATAGTTTAATCAAGATTTGACAACGAAATTGAGTTTCTCGGTTGAAAATTTATAAGAAAAGTCCATAAAACCAAAATTTTTTGTTGAAGCAGGCCATCAAAATCTTCATTTTTTCGAAAGTCTATTTTTCGTCGAAATTCTTTGGGAATTGAATATAATGATTAAAAAATTTCAACATTTTTTTCTTGTAGGCCATCAGCTTTCGAACTCATATTTTTCAATATAAAAGATCTTATTCCTATCGAGAGATTTACGATCCATCGTGTCCATCGACACTTCCAAATCGTACGTTGTGCGTCGTCAAGGTTTAATTTGGCGCAGGTTAGAATTAGTAAAACTTTGGACTGGAACCACGTGGGTCATCTGCTCAAGAGAATTTACACTCCTAGTTTGGTTTCGCGTCAACGGACACCGGCGCTTGGTCTACATATGGACAGGGCACTGTTCGATTGGCAACGACTCTATGAGACTACATTTCGAACCGAGAATGAAGGGATGGAACCCTCTTAGTAATCTATCCAGTTGATGCGAGACCGTAGGTTTTAGTACCTTGAACTGCATTTTTCTGCCAGCCTTGAAGAGCTTCCGAGGCTTGTATCTGTTGCCTAGAACTTTTCATTATTGGCACTGAGAACTTTACAATTAACTTATCGGCTACCTTACGTAGTTGTGCGTGCGTGTGTTTCTAGATGTGGAAATGTGTTTCCGTATGGAAGTACGAAGTCTTCTTGCATTGTCTCCTATCTTTATGTAGCCAAAGAATTTAAAATGCCTACTCAATTTTTTTGTCATGGAGACCAAACAAAAGCTTGATTTAAGTTCAGATGTGATGTTGCATACTAATCCTTAAATAGATTTGACAAAAAGCTACTATTTAGATAATTTGTCGATTTTTTGAGTTTCCTATTTCGATTTCGATTGTAAATCTTTTTTATTATGTTATGTTATGCTTGGAGTATTTCATTTAATCTTTGCATTCACATAATAATTCCTTACGATTTGCAATTGTTTGCTTACACGCAGCTTGAATACAAAGTAGGTAAACAGATGAATATTATTGATAATAGCTATTTTTGTATGTGTATCTACAACGAAGCATACATTGTATCTGGGTAAATTTATAGAGACGTGGTGCGTGGATATACTTATGTATGTGTATAAAGTATTACACACATACTAACAAAAAACAAATATAATATTCCCTCACAAAAAGTGTATCTAAGTAAATTTCTTTATGGCACAATTACTGTTATTTTTTGTATTTTCGAAACAAATATCCGGCTTGCCTGTTTTAGACAGACACAAAATTCTATCACGCCTTCCAAACAGATCCATTTACATATGTGTTTGTTCACATACCATACTCAAATACATACATACATATATATATATATATATATATGTGTTTGCCATTAAGTGCATCGACACGCACGCTCGAATGCCGCTTTGTTTTTATTTGCCCTACGCAGCGGCTGCGGCTAACAACTACATAAATATGTACAAGCGCGCGTTTCACAAACACCTGCACACACACACTCGCTTAAGTATGAAAGCAAACTTGTAATAGCGTGCGTATAATAACATGTTTTTGGGTTTGAAAACAACTGCAAAGGCTGGCAAGTACATAGTCGAGGGCAATTGCCTCATAAATTTGCATATGAGTACACAATGTGCGCGGCACACACATACCACGGCTAAAGGCAAGCAGAGCATACATACATATGTACACCTAAACATACTGCATACGTACATACATATACACGTATCCTTAAATGTATGGAACGTATCTAACATGCGTGCGCTCAAATAGCCACATAAATATGTATACAAATTGGTAATTGTACGTTGGTTGATTTTACATATATACATACAAATGTATGAACGTGTGTATTATGGTAATGCGGTAATGCGGTAATGTTGTCGATATCGACATTATCCTTAAATGGTAAACACGCTAACATAGCTGGCCGATTTTTACCAGCAAGTAAACTGGCAAATCGTCTGCGGCAGTTGGAGCTTGACACCATCGATACGCTGATACTGATATAGTAGAAAGGCGTTTAAGTATATTCACAGCTTAGGAAGAGACTCGGTTGATTGAGGTAACTAGCATGGAATATGTATTGATATTGTATCGATAAAAATATATTTTGTGGCTGATAATCAAAGGTTCAGCGATTTTTATTTAAATAATAAAACATATTAAATGTATTGGTCGCCTTAAGTTTTGAGTTTTGAAATGATACTAACATGGCATAACTTGGAATAAACTTTTAACCTGCAACTTTATTATTCATGCAGGTAAGAAAAATATTCGGCTCACATACCAGACCTAAAAACTATTTACCGGCAATTAAGTCCTAAAATAAGCTTATAAAAACAAAAGCTAAATTTCTGAGCTACCCAGGTTCAATTACACTATACATGCCCATACATGGCATATGAGTAACATTCTTCCCAGCTCATATTTTCTACGAAAAAATCATTGCGCATTTTTACTACACCATTCAGAACTTTATTTAGCCATCGAATTTCTTCGTTAGTAGTAGCTTGATGTTTTTGTGAAAGAACAGGCTTTATTACCAACTAGCAAACGCCTAAAACGGCTTGTACAGCTAAAATTATTAGGTTAGGTTTAAGCGAATGAAAAGTCCTTCTGCACTCATAGGAAAAGGATAATAGCGCTGAGATACCATATTGTATATGAACTAATATCTTTCGATGCTATACTATATATATATATATATATATATATATATATCATACATACCATAGAATTTGACACCAAATTTGAAAGTCATGTGACTAGTAGTTCCCAAGTTATAGCTGATTAAATATTTTCGCCCCTTTTTTAAAAACTCAAGTATTTTTTGCGATGTTATAAAGGGCAAAATATTGTCGTAGAATACAGTTATGAATGTTACTTTTCATCGTAGGGCCTCCTGGACAGAATCCTGTATTATTTTTAATTTTCGAACTTTTTTGAAAAAGTCCAACAATAACTGAAAAATCCGGACTTTTATTTGTTTAGTCCAGTAATCACAGTTAAACTTGGCCAAATATTTGTTAAGACCGAAATAAAAGTCCTTTCCAAATAATAAACAAACCGCTTATCGAAATTAAAAAAAAAAAATTATATCAAATGAATGAGGACTGAAATAGTTTTTCTCGTTTATATATTTCAGTTTGGAAAACCCACGGACAGTAGAATATTCATTTAATTTTTTAATTCATTCAATTATACACATAAGTATATTGTTTTTTTTTTGAGTATACATACATAGATATTAAATTAAATAATGTTTTTTACCTTTATTTATTGACTTGATCGCCGAAAATCTGAAAAAGTATAGAAAAGAAATTTTGCTTAGTACATATATATATATATATATATATAAATAAAATATAAATAAAATATCATTTTCCAAAAAAAGTGCACCAAAATGGCGCTTTTATGCGCTACTCAATTCCTGAGTGTCAACTTGGGTAGCGCCTGAAACCAACCAACCCACAGCTGCATAATTTTAAGACCGCCGCATATTAAATAACAAGTTTTGACTATTGGTTTTAACACTATTTAATTTCAATTATTTTCTTATAAAAAAAATCCTTTTTCTATAACAAACGCCACAAAAATCTACATTTCAAACCTTATACAAAAATTATAAAAATTTAGCGAATTTTCACCAGAATATTGCACATCTTTTAAAGAATGTTTGGAAAAGTTTTGCGTTTGCAGTTTTATAGCCCATGCAACTTTAGTATAATAAAGTGCGAGTTTCATGATCTGCCGTTGATTTCGCAATTTCTTTTATTGACGGTGCAGTTCATTTTTTTCCATATAAAAAAATTATCGAACATATTTTGTAAGGAAGAAAATGGGTGCACCGTCAACATAAAAACTTGCCAACGGTATTAGACTAAAATTGCATGGGCTATAAAACTGTATACGCGAAACTATTAGAAAAGTTCTTAATAAAAAAGTGTAAAAGTATGGTGAAAATTCGCTGAATTTTTATAGTTTTTGCACAAAGTTTGTAATTTGGATTTGTACCATACAAATTACATTACAAATATTGTTTATTATAAAATGAACTATATTTTTATATTACATTACAAATATTGTTTATTATAAAATGAACTATATTTTTATAAGAAAATATTTTAAATTAAAAAGTATGCGAATAAACAGCCAAAACTTGTTAATATGTGGCGGTCTTAAAATTATGCATTTGAGTGCACATTATATTTTACTTTGAAATCAAAAAATATTTAGTTGTCGCTCAAAGCGCGCAAAATTTTCCATGTATTTTATATGGGGAAAACCCAACTTTTCCTAGAAATGGTATAGAATTCTTAAAAATCAATATTTTTCTATCGAAAAACTCTGTTTATCTGTGGAAGACTCCCAATACCCAATTGTTTATTTAACCATTTTTATTGCAACTATATTTTATAGGTCTACCAAAAACCCACAAAACCCCGAAAAATGCAAAAGGGGGACAAATAAAATATTGCTAGTGTTAAAAAATGGTTAAATAAATAATTGGGTATTAATATTGAAAGTCTCCTGAAGAGAACCAGAGTTTTCCGTTCAAAAAATATTGATTTTCAAGAATTCTATACCATTTCTATGAATAGTTGTTTTTTCCATATAAAAATACATGGAAAACTTTGTGCGCTTTGAGCGACCTCTAAATATTTTTTGATTTTAATATACAACAAGTAATTTTTAGCAAAAAAAAACCGACTTCAACTCTCATATAAAATATATATATGTATATATATATATATATATATATATATATATATATCTCATGATCCACTGATCGGATCTTAACCAGATTAGTATGGGACCACCTCTGAGACACTACCTTTCCGATGCAATTATCGAAATCGGTTGACGTGGTCCAAAATTATGAGGTAACATACATAAAAAAAAAATATATATAAAAAAAAATATTAAAATATTCCGACGAACTGATAACCTCCTCCTTTTTTGGAAGTCGGTTAAAAATAGTGGTATACCTTTTTTCGATATAGAACAATCCTAGGGGGTGAGAGCATTACAATTCCGTATTTACTGTTTTTGGACAACCCTAGTGTACATATATAATAAATTCAAAATTTTTGGACGTGGATACAGAAAAAAAAACGAATCCCTAAAAAAAATATTTTCTATTTGGTAGGTAGCTCTTAGATAACGGGATTTTTATTATTCCATCTTTGCAGAATCGCTGCTTTTTATTTTTTTTCTTTCAAGAACAATCGTTAAATTTGTACTTTTATTTTTTCTATTCAACAATTTTATTGGGCTTGAGGCCGTTTTTAATGAACATTTTTGCGGAGAAAACCAATAATTTACATTTTGGTAGAAGTTCGGTAGAAGTGTTTCGGTAAAATTTAATCGTTATTTTGTGGTTATTTTTTTTATAGAGAATGAGCTATCTTTTATGGAATGATTCAAAAGATATCTCAATTATTCCCAATTTTTTATGGAATGGTTTTTCAAACTAAGTAAAAAAAAAAAAATAAAAAAATAAATAAATAAAGTTGAATGAAAAATCTTCTCGTCGCAAATATTATTCATTTTAATTCGCTGTCAAAAATATTTATATTAACATGAAAATTAAAAAAAAATCACGTTGTTTGTTGGTTTATGTGATGGCTCCCCATACGTTTTATTAAGATTGCCGTGAATATTAAAATAATTTAGGAGCTAATAAAAATTTCCACCATTTATATCAGAAGATATCTATGGTAAGAAAAACTTTTAGAGAATTTTTTTTTCAGAGGTTGTTTTTATGGCGAAAAACTATCTATCATTTAGGCCTAATATATGTATGTGGAGGAATATCCAACTATTACGTAAGTTTACATGCCTTTCTAAGATCTTATGAGTTGTTAGTATATACCTTGTGTTCACAAGTACATATATATCTGCACATTTATGTATATCTAAGCACGCGTGCCAAGAAACCGTCTTAAATCATGTGGCCCTAACAAGTTATAACACAGCGCTAATACCGAACAAAAGGTTGAACGATTTTAGTTGTAGTCGCATACAAAATTAAATAAGAATATGTAAATATACCTACATATGTATGTATGTACATACATACACATGTGTGTATCACTTGTTTCTTTCGCTTACATTTCGATCATCATTGGCATCATACTTACATCGGCATTTGTTCAACACTTCTTTATTTCTATCAACAATTTTATTTGAAAGGCTTTTTTGATTTGTCATAAAAACCAATTGAAGCACTACAGCTGCGATAACGATGGATGATGCGTTGGGAATGATTGCTGCTTTGTCATAAAAGCCAACTGTCTTTTCACACACACAAAGCTCACCGAAGCAATCGAAGTAGTCAAGTGAGCGTGCTTTTATTTGTTTAGGAGTAGGAGTACATACTTATTGTTATAAATAAGCTTGCGGTGTTGCGTCTTTTATGTATTTGAATGCTTGCAGAGAGTTTACGCACGTGTTGGTGGGAGAATAAGACCAAATACAGTAAGTACATACGTATGATAGTGCTTGTATTGTATCGATTTTTTACTTAAGTTATTCGTTGAAATTATACTCCACTGCATGATTGCGAAATCAATGCTTTTTTTATATCTGCCACACGCATATACACACACACAACTAGCAGTTTGCATATGTATCGTATTTGCTAGCTGAAAAACTGCTGTCGCCGTTTTGGGACATCCATGGCGTATGAGTTATTTTTAACTAATTTTGATTTATCGACAAGCCGTTCTGACAACAGCAATGCCGAAGGAAATTTGCTTACACATTGAGGTCACGCGCCTTGGGTATATGCTAATGTGACTTTTCTGCGCCACGTTGGCGCACAGTGATGAGGGTTGCACAAATGTGACAGTTGAGCCAGGTGAATGTAGCTGTGGGAGTTGTTGGTTTTTTTTTTTATTCAGCTAAATAGCTATCTATTTTAATTTTAAATGTTTGTTGGTTTTAGTTGGGCATATAGTTTTCGATGTATGTAAATATTTGTTGACTCAGGTTTCCCCAAATGAAAACATTTTAGAAATACAGAAGATGAAAATTAGAACGCTGTACACACGCTTCATGAAATTTGCGATAGCCTTCAAGGCAACCCACACACATTTTTAATTTCGCTTTTTATTTTGTTTTCAAAGTAGTTAGATAAGCTCTAATATGCTAAACGTGGAATAGTTGCTGGTTTTCAGAGGCACAAAAAAAAAAAAAAAAAAATATTTTTATTGAAATATAATTTAATATAAAATCTATTAAAACTAAACGCTTGGAATATGAAATGCTGTTCGTTAGCTTTTAGGGAGGAATCAATCATAAGGTTGGTTTATATACGATTTTATGTATGGTTTTTTTCGATAAATACTATATATTATTAGGGCGGGTCAATGGGCGTACAGAATAGAAGGATTCTAAGTGTAATGCTAAGCAAGTTTGCCCATGAACCTAAAATGAGTTTGCAGTTTGCCAAATTGCGAAAATAAGTTTCAAAGAAAATGTGAAAATTTTCACTGTTCCGCACTCTGGTGGAAGTTTGAAGAAAAATATAAGGGCAGAAATAGATTCCTCATACCAAGAAACCCCTTATAGAATATCTTTTTTAAAAAATTTAAGCACTTCTATAAGACACTACAGAAAAATGCTAAGAAACTTATTTTCGAAACTTGAAAGACTCCAAATTAAAATTACGAGTTTAATCTTGCTCTTCTATGCACGCATTGTCGAAAAAATCTGCCATACAAACTAATATATATCGTTAAAAATTTTGTTAGGAAGATTGTTCATAATTATTTTACTATAGAATTTATGTAAATATAGTCCATACTAGATTAGCGTTCGATAGATGAAATCATAAATACGTCGCCGAGGATTTCAATAATAATATCGGTTCTTTGTTATATAGAGTACACTAACTATGCAGCAATTTCAGGATCTTTGTTGTGGTCGGCATGATTTCTACTCAGTATGAAGGTGCTAGGCCCATATGGCAACACACACAATGAAATTCTCCATAAGCCATATATACACCACTTTTAGATAGGTAAGTCATGAAGATTAATTTAATGAAAAGTATAGCGCCAAAATAACTCAACAGATCAAGATTAAATTTGTATTTTAATCAATGGTAATAGACTTTGAGCATAGTTATCCGAAAAGAGCCCAACACTTTTTTTAACCATACGCTCCACCGTGGTTAAAAAGCTTCATATTAGGACCCTGAGAAAGGTCTGGAGACCTTGCATGAGCTTTGAAATAGTACATTGTTCTTTAAAAACCTATAATGTTAAATGAAATTAAATTTTTCCTTGAGCTA